TATTTGGTTCTTTATGCTGTTGAGGTTTGTTTTGGTTATCTTGTTGTTTTTGTCTACATTCGGAAATACTATGTCCGTATCGTTGGCAATAATTACACCATTTTTTGAAAGTTGGTTTGCCCTTAAAATTTGGGTGTTTTTCATAAATATTTAGTATTTCAGTGATTTTTTCAACTAGGTCTGTATCTGATTCCTGTATGTTATTTATATGTGTAGTGTTTGTTTCAATTCGATTAACATATTGTAGTTTTAGATTTTCTGTTTCTTCAAGTTTCATTGTGATTTCCGCTTGCTCTAGTTTGTCTACTAGTTTTCGAAAATCTAAATCTGGCTCTCGAATTGAAGAAGGATGAGATGCTCTCTTTTTTATTGCTATTTTCCTTAATTGAGGTGTTAGGGTCATCTTTAAAATTTCTGTCATTTTTGTGTTTTTATAGTCATGTGTATTTAGTGAATATGCTTTTCGAACTAGTGTTTCGATACGTACTGCTAATTTTTTGATGGTTTCATTTGGTAATCTGCGAATTTCATTACATAAAACTCTTTGGTGTTGTTTATTTCTTTCGGAGTCAAACATTTTTGAAAATTCTTGTGTAAATCTTTTCCAGTTTGATTTTATTTCTATAGGTAATACTGAAAACCATTTTCGAGCTGCGCCATCTAAGGTTGTTTGTATCAACGCTGTGCGTCTATGTATCCAATTTTGATGTAGTGGCGTATTAATTGGTTCAGGTCCTATATTTAAAATTAAATTTGCTGTTTCTGCATTTAAATAATCTTGTACAGAATATTCAGGGTCTGTTCCTGTGAATACCATTAGTGGTTTGTTTGATGTTATTGATGATCCACCCATGAGGTATGGATTCATCGTCATCTGTAGTGATTCTGCGGCATTTGGCATTTGCGAAAAATTTGTTAGTTGATTTTTTGTTATTTCGTGTTGTTGAAGGTAATATGGAAGTGGTATTTCATTTTGCATTTGAGTTGGTTGATATGAGTGCATAGTCATTGGGTTTTGTGGTTGAATTGGTTGGAAAGATTGTGTATTAGTTGGATTTGGCATATGTATTGGTTGTTGATTTCGTGTATCTGTTGGATTTGGAGAAAAAATTCTATTATATGTATGAGGTCGTCGCGATCCTTGTTTGCGATATTCTTAGGTATATGGTGCAAAAATGTCTGGTTGTAAATCATAATCATAAGATGATAAGTATTCCGTATGGTGAGGTGCTTGCTTTTTATTTTTATTTTGTTGAAAGAATGGATAATTTTCACTATGATCCTGTGGAGGATGTGAATTAGTTTGAAAATTTACTGAGTTGGTTGTTGTCATTGGGTTATCCCAATAGTGAGAACATACATGATTATTATTAGTTTTTCGTGGGGGGTAGTTTGTTTTTGACGAATGTGCATAATTATAATTGTGTTCTGCAAAAGTGTTTCTTGTGAACGTTCTTCGTGGTTTTGATGCTACTGTCATGGGTCTATATGTTTGATAATCCATATGTGAATATTTTGGAGCAACCGAACGTTTAACGGTTGATTGTAAGGTTACTTGTGCCAGTGAAGTGTTTGTATTTCTTGGTGTTGTTAAATTTGGATGTATTGGTGAAATACTTTGTTGTGTAGTTGTTGTTGTTTGGACAATTTCTTCATTTATGAAGTGTGATGGTGTTTGGATATCTTGTTGTGTAAGATTCCTAGTTCCATTAAGGTTTTCATTGTGTATGACGGTCGAATTTAAACTGTTATTTCGTGTATCAGGTAAAAATGTATTGTAGTTTAATGGTGTTGCATCAATGGTTAGTGGTACTACTTTTACATAATCTCTTTGGTAAGATATTGTACTTATTGCTTGACTTGAGATTGATTGTGGGATATTTAAAATGTAGGATGATACCATTCAGGGTCCCAAACGTAGTCTGATTGTTCTGTAATGGCAGTATCATCATTTGGATTTTGAAGTCTGAAATTTTTTCTGGCTTGTGAAATTAAGTCTATATTATGTGAGAAATAATCTATTATAAACCATGCTAAAATTTTTTTTTGTAAGTCATGTTTTGTGTGTTGTGAAACATCGTCTTTAGTGAAATTTTCTTTGATTATATGTAGAAAAAATGAAAATAATGTGATTTCATTTTTTACTTTTGTATGTTTGGATGTTTCATTTGGTGAGATACTTTGAAATTCTGTTTTTTCTAATATAGAAATATAGGTATATATTATTGCAAAAACTTCGTTAGTGAATATGGAGTTTGCTCTTTGTGAATTATGATATTGTATGCTTTTAATGTATTCTAAGAAGACTTTTGAAAATTCTAATTCAAGATCATCTGTTTGAATTACATATTTACGATGATTCGTATTTGGTGTGCTGAATTCTATGGTGTAGATTCCATATTGTTGTGTTAAATTACATATATCTTTCAGATAATTTTCAATAATTTGTCTTTTGTATTTTACATCTGGGAATTCTGCTTTGCATGGGCTGATTCCGGGTTCAAACAAATTTACGAGTAAATTCTTGCAAAAATCATGTTGCCCTCTTTTATCGGGTGCATCTATGAGGAAGGGGTAAACCTCTTCGTCATCTGGACTATCGTCACTTTGAGTGTGGCTCAATTTTTCGTTTAATGACTGTTAATATATAACTATCGATGTGTCTAATAGGTTGATTCCAATTATACAAGTGTACTGGTTTATGTTTGTATTGCTTTTTTATTCTTCTTTTTCCTCTTTTTGATGAATTTAAAGTTGTTTCTGAATCTGAAAAATATATTTGATCATGTATGGGACAATTTTTATCAATTGATTCTTTTAATTTGTAGAGTTCATCTAAATTGCTGGCTTTTGATTCCGAAAATGCGTTTCTATTTTTTGAAAATCTTTTTCGTGTGATTTGTCTTTGTTTGTTTATTATTTTTCTTTTTATTGGTAGTCGTTTTGTTCTAATATATCCAACTGTTTGTGTATGAGGTGTGATGACAAGATCGAGTTTTTGGTTATCTATTTCACAGTTGTGTAAAACGATTGTTTGTTTATTTCCTAGATTTTTGAATGACATACGGTTTAGGATGAGGGATGCAAAAAGTTGTTAGGTGATTTCTATTTTCTTAGACTGTTAGTCCTTAGGATTTTTTGGTTAGCTTAACCTGGGTCTTTTTATTTAGGGTTGGAGAGAAAGGTATATCGATTCCGAGGAATGATTTTTTACTTTATTGTGGCTAGTCTAAGCTAAGGTGTTAACTTACTTAATCTTACTTAGGGATAGTGATTGTGTTCAAGGGTTGGGGAATAGTAAATCGATCCACAAGGTTCAGGTATAATTAGAAGGCAAGTAGTTCGTTAGATACTATTTTAAACTTACTAAGTCTAAGATCTATCCTGGGTCTGGTAAGAGGAGGGTTCAAGTGAAGGATGAATAACCGAACTTCTTCACTGTTTATCCTAATTTTGAATGGTTAGTTTTATTTAAAAATTTCTATTAGTCTTGGGTCTTTTGGAAGGTTTGGATAGTGAATCGACGTTTGAGGTCGTTAGACACTTGTTAAGTGGGTGGGGGAGAACAAAATTGTTCTTTTTGATCCAAGGATAGGCCTTGATGATCAGGTTTTAAATTTGATGAGGTAAAAATTTATTGAGATCCAAGGATAAGCCTTGATGATCTAATTTTTTAAAATTAAATAAATTTAAGTTTAATTTGGTTTAAACTTATAAAAGGAAAAGATTTAGCCTTTTAATGATATTAGTGAGCTTATGATTGCTGTTATGTTTAGGTGATGAAGCTGGGACAACAGATGATTTTATGGTTACTAACAATTTATTGTCATGCTACTAATTTTTATTTTCATTTTCCATAAATATTTTTCAAACATGTTTTATATAAGACTGCAGAAATTAAGAAAACGATCTGAGATCTTTTTATCAATCGTTATTGTATATCAATAATTTTGTTTAGCGCCTGAAATGATCATGAAGATTGACTTCAAAATTTTATGTTTGCAAATGAAAATCTAAATTCATTGCTAATAAGATTCTAAATATAAAAGTTTGTGTTGGCTTTTGCCGTACGATCATAAAACTGTTTGGTAAGTTTTTACTTTGTCGTATGTCGTCTCTTGTTCGAGGTCTTCTTCCAATTCCGGGCAGTTCTGATATCGTTCGGAATATCGGCTCTGATCTATTGAGTCGTAGAGACATTTCGATTAAATTATTATCGTATGACATTTTAAAAATGTTTTGTCTAAATTCTAATCTATTTTTGGTTAAATCTAAGCTATTAAGTTCTTGTTCGAGACTTATGGTCGCACCAGATGAGTTAAGTCCGATGTGGTTAACTCATAGAGTAATTTCGGATAGAGTACACCGTCTGCTCGTCGCGCTATCTTATTTTCGGCCGGATAGATTCGTGCAACTTCTTAGTCTAATACCGATCCTAATCTTACTCTTATACTTTCTAGTCTCAGGGTGTTTAACTAGTCTCTGCTAGGCTCAATAGATCTAGGGTATACTGGTTTGTTGCGGCTGCTGAAGTTCTCTTGGAGAGACAACTAATTTCTAAGTTAAATTCAAATCTCTCTGGTGCTGAAATTACAAGTAATTTCAGCACTTACAAATAAGTGGGTTGTTAGTTAGATGGATGATGATTGGTTAATATTAAAAACTTTACAGTGGTAAAATATCTAATTTATCCAATCATAAAATATAGTTTAGATCATGTTCCAACAGGCGCACCTAAAAAGTTTGTATTAAAAAAAAACTTTTCAAAATATGCTTTTCATTTTGTTATGGGAACGAAAGGAAAATCAATGCTCAACCTATAAAAAGGACAAATTTTTGAACTTCTTAGAAAAACCTGACCATTCCCTCCATCTCGAGAAAACCTTAGATCTGTGCCTGGGGTAAATTATTTTTCTAGTTTTTTTTTTAATATTCCAACTTGCTAAAAACTTCTTTTTTTAAAAAAATTCTTGTTGAACTTTAGTTTCGTTTGCTTGTAGACGAGTACAAAGATAGTGAACAGTTGATCTCTTGGAAGCCCAATGCAGTGGACATAGACCCTAACCTGAACTCCACAGCCACATTTGACATAGTACCCTCTCTTGTTAAAGAGACACACACGCAGCAGTGGGGAGACGGTAAGAGAACTGCGTCTGCGGCAGTTATATTTATTCGAATGGCTCACATAAACCTGATGAAAAATCATGCTGTTTTTATTAGGCTAAGTAGGTGATTAAATTGAACATAGGACCACGATGAAGCAGTCAGAGTCAGCATTTGATCGATATGAATATTTTTCATAACCATATCGATATGAATATGTTTTTGAAGAGGTTTCAAGATTTCATAATTCAAAGATAATTCAAGATATTTCGCAAAGAGCAAAATTCGATAATTGGAAAGTTTAAAGCGGCTGTCACGTGAAAAGTGCCTTCGAAATTACTTTGTAAGGATTGGCGATTCCAGGGCAGAGTAAAGTTAATTATCAAGGCCGAGAATCATCGCTCAATGTCCCAATCACCGAGCCTCAAAATGGGTATTTCGCCACTGAATATGCGTATGCTGACCAACAAGTTATGCGCGACCTACAATCAATATGTCAATAATTTGCGCGGACAAACTAGACTAGTTTTGCGGCTGTTTTAAACATAAAGTTGTCGAAAAGTAAAATTTAAGTTGTGGTCGAGCAGCAATGCTTGACCACAGCAAAAGCATAATAATTTTTGAAATGTGAGTTTTGTTTGTTGTTGTGAAACAGTTTTTGTTCAAATTAGGTTTGTTTTAAATTTACATGCATCACTCGGGTCAAGTTCTTTCTTGAGTTTTCTCTCTTTTTAGCGCAAATTAAAGACAAAAAAAACTTAATTTAAAAGTTTTGAGCGACCTTGTGCAATTTTCCGTTACACATGTGTGCAACTTTCAGATTTTTTTTTTCGGAATTTTTCCATTTTTAGCTATTGTGCGACTTTTCCCGACGTATGTGGCAATTTTTCGCGACGTCAACCTTCGGAAGAACAAGATTTCTGGTCGCGCGTTCATCAGATTCGCGATCTTTTGACCACGAAATAAACTTGCGGTTGACTCATCCTTTCCCAGTTCACAAAGAGGGTTGCTGTGGTGAATTGGCGATGTTTTTGCTTCTCATTTGAATAGTCGGAGGTTCGAGGCCCACTAAGATTGTGCTTATTATTTGCGGGCAAGACAGCAATGCTTAGTTCGAAAAGCATACTAATGAAAAAATTTACAAGCTGCTAATCATCTGTGGCGCAACAGCAAGAACTTATCACTTTGTATGTTGGTTCTTTCTCTCAAAAATATTTTTATTGTCAATATAGTTTTCAGCAACATTGTTTTTAGCAGCAGAAGCACAAGTAACGTGGGATTAAAGAGTGGGCCACCGGTCGGAACTGTTCTTATACTAGCTTTTCGTAAACGCTCTTTGCTAAGTTTTCACGAAATTTGCTAACCAGTAACGAACTTTGCTAACTTTTCTGAGCCACCTTCCACTGCCTGAGAAGTTTCCATTGCCAGAATTGCACAATTGGAATCCTTCTTTTTCAGACATTTTCTACACTAAGCTGTGTGTACACGTGCAGTTCAAGCGGAAGTTTCACATCTACATCGTGACCATGTTCCTGCCCAGCATCAGTTTGGTGGGGCTGAGCTGGGTGTCATTTTGGATTGACAAGAAGGCTGTGCCAGCCAGAGCAGGACTCACCATCACCACCATCTTAGCCCAGATCACACTCATCACTGGCACTGCAAACAAGTGAAAGCAAAAGCTCGAAAAGAATTTTGTTCGCCCCCTTGAAAACTTTGGGCGCTTTACTTCGGGGTTCATTTATTTCAAAACACCATGATGGTCTTTTCTTTTTACTTCAAAAGTACTTTTTAACTGCAAGATTCATCATATATTTGCCGATCTCGATTTAATTTCAAATTTTACTGATATCTTATGGACGGTCGGAAAAATAAGTTCGGAAAATACGTTGCGATAAAATAACTGGTGAAAGTACACTGGTTTTTTAGACCGACC